CCTCCGCGACGGACGGCGCGTGGACGACGAGGGGCCGGCCGCTGCGCTTCGCCGCGTCCCGCAGGTCCCGGTTCTCCACGCGCAGGCTCTCGAGCTGCTCCTCCGCGTCCTCGACGCGGAGCTTGAACCGCTGCACGAGCTCGGCGAGCTTGCCCTGCGACAGGCTCCGCGCGTCGTCGCCCTTGGGCCCGCTCGCGGCGGCGGCGGCGGCGTTGCCCGCGCGGCCCCGGGCCGCGCGCTTGAGCACGGCGACCTCGCGCTTGCGCTTCTCCAGCGCCTCGGCCATCGCGCGGCCCTTGCGCTCGAGCTCGCCGTTGCGGCGCTCGAGGCGCGCCTTGTCCTGGTAGAGGCCCTTGATGATGGTCTCGTGCTCGCCCCGGAGCGCCGCGCTGCTCGGCGCGCCGCCGCCGCCGCCGCCGGACGCGTCGAGGCGCTCCTTCGTGCGCATCAAGTTCTCGATCTTCGACAGCTGCACGTTCGTGCGCTTCAGCTCCTCGGTGCGCTCGTGGTACTGGCGCTGGAGCTCGCTGTGCTGGCTCCGCAGGGCGTGGTACGCCTCCTTGTAGTCCGTCATGGCCGACGGGCTCGCGGTGGCGCGACCAAACCGCGCGCCGGAGAGCGGGCAGCCTCACCCGTTTGCTGAATTTGAGCGGGTAAATGAATGGGTTGAGTTTCAACTTGCACATCGTCACCCCGTATTGAAGCAGGTCGATGAGCCTTCCTAATGGAAGCCCATCGAACCTGACTTCGGTGCACACCGGGAGCAATCTCGCGCTAGGCATGCGCGTGCTAGGCATGCGCGCGCTGGCGGCGCTGGCCAGCGCCCAGCTCGCATCCGCGCTCTCGACATCTACCGAGGATTTCCGAGCCGGCATCTCTCGAGGATTTCCGAGCCGACGCGCCGCTGGCGCTCCCGTCGCTGCTGCCTCGGAAACGTCTCAAACAGACGACATCGTGCGCGAGTCCGGGAGCTGGCACCTGCAGATCGACGAGGACTGGGCGGGCCTGCGGCGGGTCTCGGACGCGCCGCGCGTCTACTACGTCGAGGGCCTGCTGTCGGCCGCGGAGTGCGACGCGTTGATCGCGAAGGCGACGCCGGAGCGCCTGACCTGGGGCGGCGACTCCACGGGCCGCGCGGATCGGCGGACGTCGCGCGAGTGCCGGCTCGGCTACGACGAGGTCGCCGGCCTCCAGCGGCGCTTCGCGAAACTTCTACGGACAAAAACGTCGCACTTCGAGCCGCTCAAGCTCACGCGCTACGGGCCCGGCGCCTACTTTTCCTACCACCACGACGCGCTCGCCTACGGGGGCTACCCGGGCGGCGCTCGCGACTGCGCGACGGCCCACTGCAACCGCGTCGCGACGATCATCCTGTACCTCAACGACTGCGCCGGCGGCGAGACGCGCTTCACGCACCTCGACTTGGCCTTCCCGCCGAGGCGCGGCGACGCGGTCGTCCACTTCCCCGCGTTCACGGCGGAGCGCCGCGTGCCGCGGGAGCTCCGCGGCGTCTACGACGCCCGCGTCGGCCACGAGGGCGCGCCCGTGGCGGACGGCGAGGAGAAGTTCATCTGCCAGCAGTGGGCCTGGACCGGCGCGCTCGATAGGTACGCCGCGCCGCCCGCGTACCGGCCCGACGGGCGCTGGGACGGGAAGGGCCCGCTGTAGCGACGTCATCGGTAGTTAAACGTCGGCGCGGCCGCGGCGACGTCGCGGTCGTCGTCGTCGTCGAAGGCGACGGCCTTTGGGACGCTGTCGTCGTCGTCGTCGAAGGAGACGCCGGAGTGGTGGCCCGAGTGGTGGTGGTGGTGCACCGCGGCGTCGTCGTAGACGCGGAGCGCGTCGTCGTCGTCGGCGGCCCGCGGCGCGAGCGTCGCGTTCGGCACGCCGTCGTTGGGCGCGTGGTCGTGGTGGAGGTGGTACTCCGCGTCCCTCTTCGCCAGCGTCATGCGCGTCAGCAGCGTGATGACCAACACGGCGATGGCGACGGCCTCGACGATGGACAGCGCGCGCTTGTTCGGCTCCTTCTTCGGCGCGCGGCGCAGGTGCGACGGCACGGAGTTGCCCTCGCGGCGGTGCATGAAGGCGTTGGAGATGTGCTCGTTCTCCAGGCGGAAGAAGCCCCAGACGCAGCGCCGCGCGAGCTCCGCGAGCGCGAGCACCGGCGTGAGGTAGTCCGGCAGGAACTCGTGGATGGACGACCCGAAGGCCGTCGGCGGCACCAACGTCGCGAGCCAGACGAAGCGCCCGAAGACGTCGAAGGCCGCCGCGAAGCGGTACCAGGAACTACGCGGGTACATGCGCGTCGGCCGCGACAGCGGCGCGCAGCCGCCCTCGTGCTTCCGGGACCGCCGGCAGACCACCAAACCCCAGTCCACGGTCACGTCCCAGACCCAGGAGTAGGCCGAACTCAACAGGAAGAAGAAGACCCAGCCCGGCTCGAGCTTGGCCGTGGGCGAGCGGCCCGCGAGCGCGGACCACAAAGTGACGACCAAGACTCAGCGCGTACTTGCCCGCGTTCCAGAAGTGGACCCAGCGCGCCGCCGAGTCGCCGACGTCCCGGTATTTCCGTAAACACTGCGCGAAGCGGAACCAGACCGGCAGCACGCACACCGCGGGCGCGAGGACCATCTGGAACGGCGCGGACGACGTCCACGCGTGCACCGCGTCCAATTGATCTACGTCGGAGCCCCGCGCGACGCAGGCGCCGCTCCCGAGAAACGCCGACACCCACAATACATCCAACCAGACCTTGGCCATGGACGTGAGCACGTCCGCGACGTACGTGTCCACGAATCTCACCTCGCAGAACGGCGCGCGGACGATGCGCGCGAGGCAGCCCCACATGGGCCGCCGCCGCTGCCAGGGGAAGACGAGGCGGCTCGTCACAAAGACGATGAGCAGCAGCGGCGCGACGACGGGCAACAAACGGCTCGGGCTCTGGTCGTGGAGGAACTTCGGGAGGCCGCCGCGGTACGTCGACTTGTAGTAGACTAATAACAACCCCAGCAGCACGTTCGTCTCCAGGATGCATTCGTCGAAGACGTCCGACGCCGTCGGCGCCGGCTGGCGCGGCGTGTCGACGACGTCGAAGAGGAACTGCGCGTTCACGCGGAACCGGCTCCAGACGTGGAGAGAAACGCCCCAGAGCCAGTGCCACGCCAATAACACCCCGCAGACGCGGAACACGGGCCAGGCGGCCTTCGCGGCGACGGAGTCGTGGGACGTGTGCTTGTGGACGCTGTCGACGACCTCGACGCAGTCCCACATGACCCAGACCGCCAGCGTCGCCGCGACGCCCGCGCGGTACCCAAACCTCAGCGCCGCGATGGGCGACCGGCCCCCATATAAGCCCTGGTCGTCCATGCCCCGCGTCGTCTCCCGCAGCTCCAGCTGCGCCTCCGTCGCGTCGCCGTCCGTGAAGAGCTCCGCGTAGCGCGCGTGGACGTCCGCGAGGAGCGACCGCGCGGACGCCGCGGCCCAGCAGTCGCGCTCGCGGACGACGGCGCAGAAGCGCTCGCGGATGGGCCGCTCGTGCTTGAACTTCTTGTCGCGCTTCTTCGTGATCTTCGTGAACGCCGTGAAGTTCCAGACCGTGAAGTCGACGAGCTCGCGCGCGTCCGCGTCCAACTGCGCGAGCGACCTGCGCGGAACATCGCTCACGTCGCGATGCTCGAGCTCGATCCGGCCGATGTTTGGACGAGTCGTGCTCGCTCATCGAGCCCTCGAAGATTCTGACTGTACTTTCACGTTGAAGTCGGCTCGAAGATTCGACGTCCGCGCGGCGAGCGACCGCTTGAGCGACGCGACCTCGGCCGCGTCCGGCGCGCGCGCGCTCTTGCGCGGCGACGGCATGCGCCGCCGCCGCGCGCCGGGCGCCGGGCCGCCCACGTCCACGGCGCTGTAGTCCGAGCCGCCCTTGCGCGGCGGCGTCGTCGCGACGCCCTCGCTGGCGAAGCCCTCGCCGTCGGACGGGGCCGCGTCGTCGTCGTCGGCGAGGGAATCCTGCCAGCGGCTCTCGAGCACGTCGAGCTCGCGGGCGTAGAGCGCCTCGACCTTGGCGAGCTCGGCGACGAGCGCGACGTCGAAGCCGTGGACGAGCAGCGGGTACGACTCGGGCATCTTCGAGGAGAACAGCCACCGCGTCCAGTGCCACGACTCGTCGTCGGCGGCGCCGGGCGACGCGGCGCCGCCGAGGAGGCTCAGGTTGTTGAGCGACGCGGGCCGCGGCACCCGGGGCCGCGCGCCGCCGCGGTTCTTGAGCCAGAGCGTCGCGAGCGCTTTACGCTCCGTCGGCGACAGCGACGCGTCGAGCGACCCGGGCGGCGGGCCGCCGTCGCCGCCCGCGGCCTTGGCGAGCAGGCCGACGTCGCCGCCGCCGGCGTCGCCGTAGTTGGAGACGTGCGCCGTCGACGGCGCGCGCTCGTGGGCCTTCGTCGCGAGGGCGAGGAGCAGCTTGAGCCGCTCGTAGTCCGCGTTGTGCCGCTGCCAGCGCCCTTTCTGCGCCGACTCGAAGCGCTTGCCGAACTGGACCATGGTTTTAGAGCTCTCGCGGGTTTGCTACGGCGCCGTCACGAGGTTGAATCTCGAGGACACCATCCCACAAATCACAATCCGATGGGTTGAACAGCGATTGAACCAAATGGTGCCGTGTTGAATGTGCATTCATTCGAGTGCTCTCGCAGCCCGACGCGACATGGCACCTGCTGCTGCCCAGTTCGTCGGCCGCGATAGGTGAGCGCGATCAGAAGCATTGGAGTTCGCCGGCCGTGTCCAGTAAGCAGGTCGCCGGCCGTGTGAGAAAAAGTGAGGCGCCTCCTGCCGCCCGGTTCGCCGGCCGGGTTGCGTGATCTCTGATACAAGACATTGACAGGATGCTCTCCGGCTGCGGCATCTTCTGCGAGGAGGCGAGCCGCCACGTCGACGACGACTTCGCGGAGTACGAGGAGGACACCTTCGACGAGGTCGAGGGCTTCGACGGCGCGGGCCGCTTCGAGTACATGTTCGTGAGCAACGACGAGCCCGGCGAGGCCAAGGAGGAGCCGCGCGCCGCGCCGGCGGCCGATGTGCCGCGGCGGTCGTCGCGCTTCTGCTGCGCGCGGCCGCGGCCGGCGCCGGCGCCGGCGGCGGCGGCCGACGAGTTCGACGAGCCGCCGCCGGGCCCGCGCGCGTCGCCCCGCCGCGGCGACGGCGTCCAGGAGTGGCTCGACGCGCTGCCCGGCGGGGACCGGCGCGCGGCGTCGGCCGTCGCGTCCGAGGCCGAGCGCCGGGGCCTGGGGCGGCCGAACCCGCTCTGCGCGCTGCGCTGGGCGCGGAACCACGGCCTCGACGCGTCCCGGGCCGCCGCGGCCTACGGCGACCACTGCGCGTGGCGCAAGGCCGAGGCCGTCGACGGCCTCGAGCGCGAGCACGCGTCGCTGCCGCCCATGCGGCGGCGCACGCTCGAGCGGCTCTACTTCTACGACCCGCCGCACTCCGAGCAGCTCCACGACCGCAAAGGCCGGCCCATCAAGGTCTTCGCCACCGCTCGCCTCGACAAGGCTGGCATGCGCGCCGCGGACGTCGACACGGCCGCGCTCGCGCGCTACCACCTGCTCCACATGGAGCGCCTGCGGCGGGGCCGCGAGGACCGGCGGCCCGTCCTCGGCGACCCGTCGCTCGGCATCCTCGAGATCTTCGACGTCAAGGACGCGACGATCTCGCTCTTCCGCCGGTCCTTCGACGAGATCATCGCGTGCGCGCGCATCAACGAGAGCCGCTACCCGGGCCTCGTCGGCATCACCTTGATCGTCAACGCGCCGTCGACCTTCGGCTACTGCTACGCCTTCGTCAGGCCCTTCCTGTCCTACGAGACGCAGCGGCGCATCGAGGTCGTCCCCGGCGACCCGCGGAAGCGCATCGGCGAGCTCGTCGACGACGCCAACATCCCCCGCGAGGCCTACCGCCTCTCGCCCGACGGCCGCCCGTAACGTTTCTTATTATCGCGCCTTGATGTTCGCGCAGGGTACGTCATAATCAACTTCTCCGGTCTCCTCGTAGAAGACGACGCAGCCGCCGCCCGTCGCGAGGCGACCCCGCAGCACGACGCCCCGGTCCCACTCGTCCTCGCCGACGCCCTCGATGGGCCAGAAGCCGAAGCGCGTCCAGACGACGTCGTCCCTTTTGAAGGGCGACGCCGGGTCCTCCGCCTCCAGAGCCGCGGATTTGACGCCCCCGAGGCCGTCCCTGACGTAGAGCGAGAACGCGTAGCCCTTCCCCGTCGACCAGCTCGTCGGGTACGTGTCGCCGCGCGTCGTGCAGGGCAGCGGCGAGTACGGGCAGGGCGCCGCCGCGCGCCACAGGAATTCCATCGGGTGGTAGCAGACGACGCGGCAGCCGTCCGCGGCGTACAGCAGCACGCGCTCGCAGAGCGCCGCGTGGATCGACGGCGGGAAGCACGTCTGGAGCACCAGGACGCCCGCGGCGGCGACGTCGCCGCGCCAGCGGTCGTCGAGCAGGTCGCCCGCGTGGCACCGGAGCTTTCGGCCGCCGCGGCGCAGCGTGAACGTCGCCTCGGCGTCCCACCGCGACTCGTCGAAGTCGAAGCCGGGCCGCGTCGCGGCGAGCCGCCGCCAGGCCCGGCGGCAGGCGTCGCAGCGGTCCCGCGACAGCTCGACGGCGAGCACGTCGACGAGGCCCGCGTGGCGGAGGAAGACGTAGAGCGCCTGCTTGCCCGTGCCGCTGCCCAGCTCGCAGAGCCGCGCGCAGCGCGCCACGTCGAGGGCCGCGGCGATGCGCTCCATGCCCGCGGGCAGCACCTCGCCGTACTGCATGTCCGAGCCCGACGACGCGAAGGCGGCGATGTCGCGCGCGGAGAGCTGCCTGTTGCCGGCCATGAAGAAGCCCACCTCGTCGCCGACGAGCTCGTAGGCGTGGCGCACGCACGCCGTGGTCTCGAGTTCGTCCATAGGTCGAAGGCTGGCTGCTAGCAGAGCTCGTAAGCGTGGCGCACGCACGCCGTGGTCTGGTTTTCGTCCATAGGTCGAAGGCTGGCTGCTAGCACGGGAGCTCCATGCCAAGGCCTCGCCTGGTTGAGGCCGTCGAAGCAGGGCAAGATCACTGCAATAGTCACAAAACAGCCATCGAAAAAGCTCGGCAGCCCACACACACGTGCTGATCATGCGCGCCGCAATCCTGCTCCTCCTCGCCGCGGCGCGGGCCGCGCCGCCGTCGGCGGTCTACATCATGCGCCACTGCGCGAGGTCCACGTACTTACCGGACCTCGAGGACGAGAAGACCTACCCGTACCTCGCGAACTACTCCGACGGCGGCGAGCTGGCGGACTGGGGCGTCGCGCCGACGCTCTGCACCGCGCGGGGGCGCAAAATCGTGAAAGGTGAGGGCGCGTTCATGAAGAACGAGTTCGCGCGATACGATTCGCTCAAGGTCTTCCACGACTCCGGGTCGCAGCGCGACACGACGACGGCGGCGGACTTCCTCGCGGGCCTGGGCTCATCCGTCGAGTCCGTGGCCGCGCCCGAGGTCTTCAATCCCATGAAGGCCAAGTTCTGCCCCTACCTGACGGAGTCGGAGTCGGCCGCCGCCGTCGCCGCGCAGCTGGCGCGCGTGCCCGAGCCGGACGCGCTCGCCGCGCGCGTCGAGGTCCTGCAGGAGGTCCTGGGCGCGGGCGTCGCGCCGGCGATGCAGAACATCTCGTCCGAGGTCGCGGACGGCAGGTGGCGCGGCGGCGCGGCCATCGCGGCGGCGTGGATCGAGGCCATGCTCCTCCAGCTCGGGGCCGGCATCCCGCCCGCGTACGGCCGCGCGGACGCGGCGGACGTCTACGCGCTCTTGGACATCCACGTCTACGCGAGGGCCATCAACGACCGGCCCTGGGCCATCGAGCGGCGCGGCGGGGCGAACATGCTCGCGCACGCGCGGAGGGACCTCGTCGAGGGCTCGGGCGCGACGCTGTACGTGGGCCACGACACGACGCTGGACCAGATGGGCGTCCTGCTGAATTTGACCTGGGCCGACATGCCCCCGTATCCCACCAATACGCCGGCGCCCGGGTCGATATTGAAGTTGGAGGCGGCCGACGACGCGGACGGCGGCCGCAGCGTGACGGCGACCTACTTCTACGTCGAAGACTTCGAAAACGACGACGGCGCATTAGGCATCGCGGGCGCGACGACGTTCGCCGGCGGCGCGACGTCCATGCCCCTCGAGGAATTCGCCGCGCGCGCGAACGCCACGATCGACTACGCCTGCGTCCGCTTCTAGATTGCACGTTTAGATCCATCTAAGGCGAGACAGCAGGCTTCGGAATTCGGGAAAGGCGCCGTCTATGCGGCCGCTGATGTCCGCTTCTTCGTCTGCGTGCATCTCCGAGTCGCCTTGGGCAAAGCCACGTCGGTGCCTTTCCAGTTTCTCCGCCTCCTCTGGCGTCCAATGTGCGGCACTCAGAGCAAATTCCGCGACGAAACCGGTGGGATTGTCGACCCTTGAGAGTGACACGATGAACTCGATCTGGAGTCGCCATGGATTGTAGTAGAATGCGGGACATGAAAACGCGCGTTCGTAATATGTGTGGAAAATCTGATATGGATCATTCAAATCACTAGAGCAGAACTGGGTGTGAATATCCCTATCTAGAACCTCCTCCATGGTGACGAGCTTGGCGGCGCGGCCGTCCGGCCTTTCAAACATCCACGTAATCCGAAAGTCGGGCGTTTGCTTGGCGTACCGGTCATTCACTCCTCCAGTGTAAGCGGCGGCGAATTCATTTGCGACCTCGGGGATCACCTGATCCGGACCCAAAGGACGGAAACTTTCGATGTCGTGCTCACTCTCCACGGAGCGTCGCAACGAGAGCATGTTCTCTTCATAACCTTCGTCGTTTCTACTCGGCGTGTAAGGAAATCGCGCCAGGAATACCACCTCTTCAGCCTGCGTGACAGTGACAACCACGGTCAGTTCACAGTCGATATCTTCGTCCTCGACCAGGTTTTGTAAATTCATATCCAACTCGCGCTCGAGCGTCATCGCGCGTTCGAAACGCTCCCGCCCGGTCCCGCGGAGCGCGAGCCAGAGCCGGGGCGGCGCCCGCGCGGCGAACACGTTCCATAGGCCATCATGACGCGACGCGGAGTTGAGAGCCTTCGAGGTCCGCGCCGGGGCCGCCGTCTCGCCGGGCTGGAGGAATTGGAAGACTTCCTGCCAGACGTCCTCGCTCACCGTCCCCACCAATCGCCCCGCCGCTTGCTTCTGCTCGACACGGCGGGCGAGGCGTGGCAACATACGAATGAATAGAGGTGCGGCTTGGCGGAGTTCGCGCGGCGAATTCGCGCCCAATTTTGCCACTGTGTGAGTGGGTCGCTAACCCACTGCAGTGCACTGGCACCACAGTCTGTCAGTCACTGGCACCGGACGGGATGCTGACTGGAGCCTGACTGGCTGCGGACGCCTCCGCGGTCGGTCGACTTTGCAGGCCCCGGAGGAGTGATTATCCATGCCCAGTAGGTTCCTCTGGATATTAGGCATCTCACTAGCGATGGTTAAAGCGCCTTGGCCATCTGCGTGTCGTCGGACACGGCCCGGGGCCGGCTCTGGTGGCGCCGCCAGAAGGCCAGGGCCGCGACGACGGCGGCGAGCGCCGCGGCGACGACGCCCCGCCACGTCGTCGTCGCGCGGTGGATCGCGTGGCGGCGCAGGAGCGACACGCAGTCTGGCGACGGCGGCGCCGCGCGCCGCTCCGCGACGTCGTCCGCGGCGCAGTCGTAGAGCGCCATCCACCGCGCGCAGTGGTCGGGCGTGCCGTCGCGCTTCCCGCCCGGGTACCCCGGCTCGACCACCCAAGGGTGCGCGTCGCAGCGCGCGAGGATGCCCGCGTGGAGCGGGCTACCGGCACCGCCGTCGCGGAGGAAGTCGCGGTAGTCGTCGGGCTTCGGGCCGTGGAAGTGGAGCAGCGACGCGCGGCCGGGCGCGTAGGGCCAGTAGGGCCGCCAGTTGAACGCGGGCCAGTTCGCGACGTCGAAGCGGCCCCGGTAGAAGGACGCGTAGGCGCCCTGGTCGCCCGGCCCGTAGTCGCCGAAGTGGAGCCCGCGGTCCACGTTCTCCGGCGAGAAGATCCAATCGAGAAACGCCGCGTAGGTCCGCCGGAGGCCGGCCAAATTCAGGAGCATGACGCCCGCGTTGCCGTAGTTCGGCGCGCGCGGCGTCTCCGCGCCCAGGGAGAAGAACTCGGGGGCCGCGGCCCCGAAGGCGACGCCGTCGAGGAAGAGCACGTCCGTGTCCGCGTAGAGCACGACGTCGCCGTGGACCGCCGGGTCGAGGAGCAGGGGCACGTCCACGCGCAGGAACGTCGACGCGAGGCTCCGCGGCGACGCGTAGAGCGGGCTGAACTTGACGTTGCGCCTCCCCGCGGTCGTGTTGAGCGCGCGCTCGAGGAGCGGCAGCCAGAGCGGCGCGTGGTGCACGACCTCGACGCCGCGCGCCGCGAGCCAGAGGGCGAGGGGCGCCGACCGCGGGCCCCAGAAGACGCAGACGGGCTTGAGCGACGTCCGCTCGAGCGCGGACACGACCGCGCGCTTCGTCATGGCGACCCAGGCCGGGGACGCGTCTCCCGTCGCTAGGAACACCCACGTCGCCACCGGGGCGCGCCGCCGCGGCGCCGCCGAGGACATCGCGGGCCGCGGGTCGACGATTGGCCGGTCCGTCGACGCGACGTCGGCCCGGAACGCGGCCGCGGCGAAGTGGAGCGCGACGTCGCCAAACTGGGGGCCCGCGGCCGCCGCGTAGTCGAACCACGCGTCCCCAAAGGCCGCCGCCGCGTCGCAGGTCCGCCGGAGCACGAACGCGCCGTCGAACGCCGTCGACGGCGGCGAGTTGCCCCGCTTCGCGAGCTCGCGGAGCTTCGCGGCCACAAAGGCCTGGGCCTTGGCGACGGCCTCGGCGTCCGGCGGGTCGTCGGAGAGCCGCGCCTCCTCGACGAGCCCCGAGGCGAGCTCGCCGCCGGCCACTCGCCCGAGCACGCGCCGCGGCCGCAGGCCGATCGCGGGCCGCTCGAGGTTCGCGTAGACCGCGGCGACGGCCGCGTCGACGTCGACGCCGCGCGCGGCCGCGTCCACGTAGAGCGAGACGTCGTAGCCGTGGAGCGCGGGCTCCCGGTGGGGCATGGCCTGGAGCGCGAGCGCGTGCAGCCGCCGCGAGTTCCACGTGGACCGCCAGTCCATGCGCGTCGCCGCCCAGCCGCGCGGCGGCTTCGCGAGGACGTCGGTGTCGTCCGTGAAGAGCCGCCGGTCGACGACGTAGCCCCGGGCCGCCTCGCCGCGCTTCGGCAGCGCGAGGCCGTCGAAGCGCCGCGGGCCGCCCGCGGCGCCCGCGGCGTCGACGGCGTAGACGACCAAACGCGTCGCGACCGCGGGCACGTCGTCGACGACGCCCAGGAGCGGCAGCCACGCGCGCTCCATGTAGTGGCCCGCCTCGAGCGAGTCGCCCGCCGCGAGCTCGCGCGCGAGCGCCTCGTAGGTCGCCTTGGGCCGCCGTCGGAGCGCGTGTCGGCCCGCGGCGAAGAGGCCCCCGAGGCACGTCGGGAAGGGGTCGCCGCCGCCGCCGCCGAGGTGCGCGTCGATCCACGCGCCGACGGGCCGCGTCGCCGCGCGCGCGTAGGCCTCGTCCGCGTAGCAGTTGCCGAAGCGCGCGCACTGCTCCGACTTGTACGTCGGGAGCTCGAAGGCGCGGGCCTCGCGGCCCTGGCGCCGCGCGCAGAAGGCCTCGAGGTTTCGGGGAGCGCCGCGGCGAAGGTCAGCACGTTCGCCATGGCCCCGAGGTGGTCGTGCCACACCGTCGTGTCCTTGAGGAAGAACGTCGCGTTCGCGAGGTCGTCGTAGGTCCGAGCGACGTGCGCCAGATAGGTGTGGTCGCAGCGGCCGACGTTGGGCAGCTGCTCGGTGAAGATCTGCACGCGCCGGCCGCCGCGGTCGCCCGCGAGCCTGCGCAAAGCGGCCGCGTCGCCCGCGGCGCAGCCGCCGGCGCGCTTGCAGTAGGAGAAGACGCGCACGTGGACCGCGCGGTAGGGCAGCGCGCGGAGCAGACTGGCGACCATGGGCGCCGCGGGCCGGTCGTAGGCGGCGACGACGACGTCGACGGTCTCGGGCGGCCGCGGCGTCGCCCGGTGGCTCATCGCGCCCTCAAAGGCCGGCGCGGGCGCCGGGCCCCGGAGGTCGCAGGGCGCGCCCGCGCCGCAGGTTGCGCCGTAGGGCATCTCCAAACCCCAGCCGGGCAGCACGCCCCGGGCTTTGGGGTCCGCGCACTCGCCCGACGCGGCGTCGCACGCGCAGCCGCACGCGCAGCCGTCCAGGACGCCGTCGTCGCCCCGGCGCCGCGCGGCGCAGAGCGCCCGCTTGTAGCGCTTCGCGGGCTGCTCCCGCGCGAGTAGCGCGGCCCAGGTGCGCTCCATGAGCGCGTTCGACGACCGCTCGTGCGTGTAGAGCGTCCGCTCGAGCGTGCGCCACGTCGCGCGCGCGATCTTGGCCACGCGGCTCCGGTGCACGCCGAAGATGCCGCCGTAGCACACGGCGACGACGACGCGGTCCAGGAGCGGCGCGAGCAGCGTCTGCGTCTGGAGCCAGGCCCGCAAGGGCAGCGCCTCGTGGCGCGCGGGCGCGTGCGTGCCGTTGTGGCCTGGGGAGGAACCGGGGTGATGCAACGTCGCTTCAACGTGCGTGTGCCGCGCGCGCGCGTTCCCAAAACTGCATTCCGAGGGATGACCGCTCGTCCAAACATCAGCCGAAACGAGTGGAACACGGCCGAAGAGGAGCCTTGGAAGTTCGCGCCCTTGTTTCCCGCCCCGGTCGCGGCCCGGGTCGAAGTCCGCGAGCTCGTTCATCATGTGGAGCGCGCTGCCGCCGGCCGCGGGCCGCCGGCCGCAGCCGAAGCCCACGTGGCCCAGGGCCGCGTGGGCCGTCGCGCAGACCGGGGCCGCGAGCTTCCGGAGCTCCGGTGCTAGATCCTCGTCTTTGAAGAAGAGGACGACCTGGTGGAGCGGCGCGCCGGAGCTCACGCGCCGGAAGAGGTGGTGCGCGTAGGTGTGGTGCTCGCCGCCGACGTTGCTCAACCGCTCCACGCGCGCGTCGGGCAGCTTGCGCCGCGCGCCCTCGGCGTCGCCGCATTTCGAATAGACGTAGACGTCGCGGACGTCGACGCCGCAGTCCCGGAGCTCCGCCGCGACGAAGTTGACCCAGCCCACGTTGCCCGCGCAGTGGGCCACCACCAGCTCCGCCGTCGCGCGGCTGTCGTTGCGCGCCGGCCGCGCGGTGAGCGGCGCCCACTGCGCGTCGGAGCATTCCGCGCACGCGGTCCGGCCCGCGAGCGCCGCCGCGGGCCGCAGGCCGCTGCGGCAGGCGCCGGCGCCCGTCGCGTTGGCGCAGAAGGGGCGGCCGTCGGCGGGGCGGCAGTCCGGCGGGCAGTGCCACTCGTCGTCGCCGCGGCAGACGTCGCCGTGGTCGACCTCGTCGTGGGCCTCCAAATTCGGGCAGAGGCCCCGCAGGCCCGTGCGGCACGGCGCGCCCGTGAAGGGGTGCGCGCAGTCGTCGCGGCCCCGGGGGACGCAGTCCGACGGGCAGCCAATCTTTCGCTTTTTCCGGCAGACGTCGCCGCGGTCGCGGCGCGCGGCGAAGACGGGCCGCCCGCCGCCGCCGCAGGTCGGCGCGTCGCGCCGCGCCGCGCTCCGGCAGGGCGCGCCGTGGCCGTTGACGCAGTAGGGCGCCTCGCGGCCCTCCGCGGGCGCGCAGTCCGCCGGGCAGGACCAGCTCGACCGGTCGCGGACGGACCGGCAGACGTCGCCGTGGTCCAGCTCCTCGTGGACCTCGAGCAGCGCGTCGCCGCCGCAGGCCTCGCCGCCGACGCGGCCGAGCGCCAGGAGGAGCGCGAGGGCCGCGACGCGCATCACGCGGGAACGGCGTGTCAAAGGGCTGCTCTGGGCATCATCGTCTGCGATGATGACAAAAACTGTGCACGTTCCCCGCAACGGCAATATGTTGCCTGCGACTAGCGCTCAGGTTGGCCACTTGACTTGCCACTTGGTTGGCCCGCACTTCCGAGTCGCTCGGAGTAAGTCGAGCAAGTGACCGAGCTCAAGTCCGAGCTCTCTCGAGAATGATTTTAGCGGACGTCGCGGAAGGACGACTTCGGCGGCTCGGCGAGGACGACCTTGCGGGCGGTCTCGAGGGAGAGCACGCTCGCGGCGAAGTGGAGCCAGGCGTCGAGCTCCGGCCGGCGCCGGAAGAGCAGGTCCGGGATGAGCGGCTCGCGGTCGCCTCCGTCGTCCGGGTCCTGGCGGAGCGCCGCGCAGACCGCCTCGGCGATGACGACGAGGTTCGCGTCGCGCGACAGGGTCACGTGGCGGCCGTCCGCGCGGGCGACGCGGATCGCGTGGGCCGCGCGCTTCAGCAGGCCCCGCGACGCGTCGTCCGAGTGCGCGCACTCGCCCGTCCGGAAGAGGAGCGCGTCGAGCACCGCCGCGGCGTCCGCGCGCCGCGGCTCGTCGGCGAGGACCGCGAGCACCGCCGCCGTGACGGCGTTGTGGAGCATGGTGCACGCCGGCAGGTCGAAGAAGCGGTCGACGTAGAAGTTGAGCGCGTCCGGCGCGGCGAGCGCGTCCGCCACGCCCGCGCACCGAGCCGCGGCCCTCAGAAGCCGCGCGCGCGCGAGCAGGTCCGCGCCGACCTCGCCCCGCGGCGCGTCCGGCCGCAGGAGCAGCGCCGTCCGCCGCGGCGCGACGGCGCCGGCGACGACCCTCCGCAGGGACCGGTCGTCGGCGACGGCGGCGACCAAAGCGGACAGGACGTCGCAGGCCTCGGCCGTCGCCTCCGCGGCCGCGACGAGCGCCGCGAGCGTCTCCGGGTCGCCCGCGAGCGCCGCGGCGCACCGCCCGCGCGCCGCGGCGTCCGCGAGCGCGCCGAGGAACATGGTCCGCCCGTTGCGCGCGCCGCGGCCGTCGCCGAGCGCCGCCGCCGAGGCCCGGAGGAACGGCGGCGGCGCCGCGCACGCGACGAGCTTGCCGCCGAAGGCATCTCTCAACATCATCGCGCCGACCTGGCCCGCCGCCCAGGACGACGCCAGCCGCTTCGGCAGCCCTTGCAGAAAATCCGCGCGGCCGAGCGCGTTCGTCGTCGCGAATCTCCCGGACCGCAGCAGCGCGGCCAGGACGCGCTCCCAGCGGTTCGCGCGCATGGGCGTCGCGTCGTCGTCGTCGTCGTCGTCGAGGAACGCGGCGAGCCGGCCCCAGCAGCCGTCGCAGGCCGCGCAGGCCTCGGCGACGGACGAGCACGCGCCGTCCTCTCCGGTCAGCACCTCGGCCGCGACGCCGCCGCGCCGGTCCCGCCGCGTCGGCTTGTCGGGCTCGAGCGTCTCCGTGTCGCCGGACTGGCCCTCGCCGTCGCGGACGAGCGCGCAGGCGACGACGGCCTCGGGGTGGTCCCGGAAGAAGGTCACGAGGTCCGCATTGGCGCGCAGCTCTTGGAGCAGGTCCTCCTCGTCGAGGAGCTCTATTACGCCGTCTTCTGCTGCGAGCGTGCCGTTTTCGACCTGTTCGAGGATCTCGGCGACGCGGTTGTCCTCGAAGTCGAGGAAGTCCATCGCTGGCTGGACGCCCGCCGCGGCCGACGAGACGCGGCGGACGGCACCTCTTGTGCTCGCAAAATCCTTGCCACAGCATCCACAGCTCGATCTCAGAGCGCGCGCCATCTGGATCCGCGCCAGCCGCACATTCGGGTCTCGTCGCGTCGACAGCGCGCCGCCGGCGTCCAATCCTGACAGCATACGCTCCACAACAACCCCTCCGACGCCCGCGGTTTCAAATTCGACCACGGACAAGAGCGACCGCCGTCGCGCGCGCGAAGAACAATCGAAAAAGGCTTCCCGTTCGAAACCCAACGCCGCGCCGCAGGCAAACCATGTACAAGCTCGTCCTCCTGCTCCTGAACCTCTCCCTTGCTTCGGGCTTTGGGCCGAAGGGCGGCGGCTTCACGGGCGGCTTCGGCGGCAGCATCGGGCCGGGCGGCGAGGAGGGCGCGCTCTTCTTCCTGCTGCCCAAGAAGAAGTACAGCGCCGCGCCGTCGCACAAGCTCTCCGCCGAGGACGAGGCGAAGAACGCCAAGCTCAAGAAGGTCGACGCCGACAAGCTCAAGAAGCCGCGATTCGGCGTCGCCATCAAGAACTTCTCCTTCCGATCGCTCTTCTCCTTCGCGCCACCCACGAAGGAGAGCACGACGTTCGCGAAGAGCCTCGCGACGAGCGCCTAGGCGCCGGGGCCTAAGAATGCCGAAGCAGTGTGCGGGCGAAGTCGCAGCGTCCGCGGCCGCGCCGACGCGCGTCCACTAGACGCGTCCACTACGCTACTTCGAGTACTAGCATGTTAGGGCGGACAGAAGGACGCGTCGATGGAGCCCGCCCGGCTCGTTGGCGGCGTGATGGCGACGTAGAAGCCGAAGCCGTCGTCGAGGAGCTCGGACCCGTCCGGGTAGTCGCGCTCGTCGAGCGTGTCGTCGAGCGTGTCGTCGAGGTCGACGACGTTGAGCGACGAGCTCAGGCGCGTGAAGGTCGTCGCGACGCGCCGGAGGCCGACGACGTGGGCGATGCCGATGATGGAAACGATGAGCGGGTTCTGCCGGAAGCGGCCGAGCCAGTCGACGGGGTCCGGCGCGTCGCGCCGCGAGAACTGCTTGCGGCGGTGGCGCCGCAGGGGGAGGCTGTGGCAGCTCTCGTCGCTCCCGCCGGCGAGGGCCAGGCTGCTCCGCGACTCGGAGCCGCAGCTCGACGCCATGGAGCTACACGACTCGAAACTGTCGAGGCGGTCCAGCTCGGGCTGCGAGTCGCACGCAGCCCCGAGGCGATGCATGGTCCGGGTGCGTGGGGGGGTTCGCGGCGCGGCGGTCGGGATTCGTGTCGCGCTCCTAGGAAGCCTCCACAAGCCCGGCACGGGGCGAGGCGACGCACGCTTCCGGCGTCGGAAGTCGGGAATACTCGTCACGCTTCAAGCAAACGCATCGCGTTGAAGCCTGCTCTCATTGGCCAGTTTTAAGGCGGCGGCGGCGGCGGCCGCGCGCCCGCGAGGTCCGCCTCGCGCCGGAGCCAGCCGGCGATGGCCGCGCCGATGGGCTCGCCGTGCGGCTCCCGGCAGAGGTTGTGGAAGAGGGGCAGGTCGAGGACGGCCCGCGGGAACAGGTCGTCCGAGACCGCGCCGGCCTCCCTGAGGAGCCCCGGCTCCGCGCCGCCGAGGCCCTTGAGGACCACGAGGGTCCTGCGCGCCGCGCCGGCGCGTTCGAAGAGGGCCTCGGACCCGGCCAGCGAGCACATGGCGTCCGCGCGCGAGTGGAGCACGAGCAAAGCGCGGCAGCCTAGATCTTCCAAGCCGCCGTCGTCCATGAACCCGGCCATGGCCGCGGCGCAGGCGTAGAGCGTCCCCGCCAGCATGGGGCCGTGGTAGAACGTGGGCTCCGTCAACGCTTCCCGCGCGTGGCTCGGGATGGCGTTCTCCGCCGTGTGGAACGTCTCGCCCGCCGGTCCGAGCAGCTTCTTCGCGGCGGCGAGCGCGTACAAAGCCACCGTCCGCGAGAACGACGAGGGGAAGTCGTCGAGGTAGAGCATGGGCGAGTGGAAGACGATGCCGTCGAATTTCCCGCCGAGCTTCGCGCAGCGCGCGGCGATGGCGCCGCCCATCGACGATCCGACGAGGAACCGCGGCAGCGTCGGGTACTCGGCCGCGGCGGCGGCCGCGAGCTGCAGCGCGTCGCGCGCGAGGTCGTCGAGCGACTCCACGCAGGGCCCCACGTCGCCGTAGAGTCCCTCGGAGTCGCCGTGGCTCTGGTGGTCGAGCATGAAGACGGAGACGTCGCTCGCCGCGAGCCGCTCGGGTAGGCTCCCGGCCCATTTCTCGTGCGGCCCGCCCTCGGCCGTCGCGCAGAGCCACTCGTAGCGCGCGCAGACGCGGTAGCCGTGCGCCAGCACGACAAAGGCCACGGGATTCGCCGCGCGCACGCAGTAGGTGGCGATGCGCAGCCCCTGGGCGTTGACGAGGCTGCCCTTGTCGAGCTCGCCGGGGGCCGTGCCGTCGCGCAGCGGCCACGCGGTGGTTTTGGGCGCTGCCTCAGTGCTCCCGGCAGCCTCGCCGCCGCTCGCCGCTGCCCCGAGATCGTCGGCCACCGAGTCACCCGCCGCCGCCCCGCGATCGTCGGCCATCGCGCGGCGGCTTCAAATCTTCAATGAGACGTCAACAAAAGTGTTACCTAGGTCGTGTAGACCTTGACGACGTGCTCGATGGTCGCGCGGCAGATGGGGCACTTGTCCTGCTGGCGGTGGAGGCGCGTCGCGCAGCGGAAGCAGGCGCACATGTGGCCGCAGGGCGCGAGGACCGCGTCTTTCCGGTGCACGAGGCACACGGCGCACTCCGAGGACTCGACGGGCTTCGCGGGCCGCGCGCTCTCGTTGGCGAAGGCCGCCAGCAGGCTCGCGTTCGCCGCCTCGACGGCGCGCTTCAGCGCCGCCGAGTCGGCGAACTTGTCGCCGAAGCTCAGGTCGACGTCGAGGCAGCGGCGCACGAAATCCGCGGTCTCCGGCTGCTTGCCGCCGAAGGCGTTCAGCGACAGCCGCAACCCGTACTCGCGCCGCGCCCCCACGCGCGCCGCCGCGCGGATGACGCCCGGCAGCGGCGCGCCGTGGATGCGATTCGCGGACGCGAGCGTCGCGAGTAGGTCGTCTGGCGTCGCCTCCTGGGGGCGCGCCACCGCCAGATGGTGCGCGCCGTGCTCCGTCACCGCCAGCGCGTCGACGTTCTCGAAGGCGACGCACAGGTCGAAGGTCATGACCCCGAACAAATTCCGCCGCTTGATCGACACGACCTCGGTGGTGGTGTCGAACGTCGTTGTTTCTAAGGCCGGCCGCGCCATGGCGCACGCCAACAACACCAGACACAGAAAAACCAACACCTCGTCGGCGCCCGAGTCGTCGAAGCGCAGCGCCAGGGACACGGGCGCGCCCGTGTCGCGCGCGGACGCGCCTAGATAGGCCTGGACGGCCTCGAGCGCGTCCGCGGCGCGCGCCGCGTCGTCGAAGACGTGGACGACGTGCTCGCCGCCGGACTCGTCGCTGACGACGACGGCGATGAGCGACGGCGCCGCGCCGCGCCAGGCCGCCTCCGGGTCGAATTTAGCGCGGTTCGCGGGCCGCGGCGGCGCGCGCGGCGCGCGCTGCGGCGGCCCGCGGCCCTTCTTCGCGGGCACGCCGCCGGCCTCGATGTCGCGCGCCATGGCCGCGACGACCTCGCGCACGGCGTCGGCGTCGCTGGAGTTGCACCGCCGCCGGAGCGTCCGCGTGCGCAGCGCGTTCGACATTTCGAGCCGCAGCTCCGCGCCCGCGATCTCGAAGGACGAGCGCCGCCGCTTCTCGAAGAGCCGGTCGACGCCGCGCGGTGTCTCCGTGAGCACGCAGTCGTTGTCCTCGAGGCGCTTGGACCGCGACGCGTGGCGCGTGCACCGCAGCACCTCGCGATGGTGCCTCCCGTCGGCCGCGGCCGCGCAGGCCGCCGCGATGAGCGCGAGGAGCGCGAGGACGAAGGTCGTCGCCTTCAGGAAGCGGATGCGCACGACGCTGTTCGGTTCGATGGTCAGCGCCGGGCCGCGCAGGGTCCGGCGCATGGCGCCTGTTCTGTTGCTGTGTTCGCGCGTCGCGGCGCGCCGAAACGAGTCGGCGCGGCTCGACGAGGAGGTCGCGGGTGTGGTCTGTTTTGAGCGCGCGTCGGAAGCTGCGCGGAGGACGCCGAGGACGCCGAACCCGTCGTCAGACGGCAGGGCGCTCTCCCATACGGGAGCTCGATCGCACCGGTCGCCACCGCCAGGGGGGGGGTTGCTCCGCCAGTGGCGCCCCGGCCGACCCCTCTAGCGCAGCGACGCTGTACTCGAAAGTCACGATCTTGAGCGCGATCGAACCTTCATAGTACCGTCGATTAGGAAACCAAGGGGCATGTCCAACGCCATCGATGGTGGCGAGATCGACTGTGCCGGATTTGTCCGTAGGAGCGCGGTGGACGAACGAGGCCCGTAGGGTGGATTTTGGACCAACACCGAAACTGCGTCTCCGGCACTGACCAACCGTCCAGGGCGACGCCAGGGGTCATGGGGCGTCGCCCCGACCACAAAAAGCGACCGTTCTGCGCCTATACGCAGCGCATGGCTGGCGCGTATACGCGCGTATTCGTACGTAGGCGGTCCTTTTTCGAGCATATTTCAGTGATTTCGTCGAGTTAGAAAGAGCTTGCTTCACGCGGGCGTAGCTCGCCGGGACGTCTAGGACCATGCAAAAAAGAGTGACTTTAGACGCCGCCGTCGCGCGACGGCGCCGACCTTGCCGGAGCAAACCCCCCCATCACATCTCCATCACCGCCGCCGCCGAGTGCCTCGCCGCAGTGCGGCTGCACTGCGCGCCGCCATGTGGCGCAGCCTGCCCGGCGCGCAGGAGCGCGTCGACGAGTTGTTGGCGCTCGTCGCCGAGGACAAGCCCGCGAGCGAGCGGCCGCCGATGCACGTGCTGAAGCGGCTCATCGACGAGCGGCTCGAGGACGAGGACAAGTGGGTGCAGATCACGGCGGGCTGCGTGAGCCGCGAGCTCGGCATCCCCTGCGAGTCCTTCGAGCGGGAGATCGAGGACACGTTCGTGAGCAAGGTCCGCGCGGCCTACGCGGAGCGCGAGTCGGACCCGCCGCCGCAGCCCGAGTGGACGTACGGCGACACGATCCACGACTGGTTCGACGCGCGCGACCTGCCGGGCATCTTGGACGAGGAGCTCTTCAAGCCCGAGGGGCCGCCGCAGGTCAAGCACTGCGGCGTCCGCGCGGACGCGCCGAAGGTGAACCTGCTGAGGAAGCCCGACGCGTCGCTCGGCGGCGGCCGCGGCCGCGGCGCGGGCGGCCGGGGCGGCGCGCAGAAGCGGGACCTGTCGCCGCGCTACCAGGCGGGGCTCGCCGGCGCGCCGCCGCGGAGCGAGCCGGCGGCGATCCCCGCGCCGCGGCCGAGGAAGGAGGCCGCGAAGCGGAGGAAGATCGTCATGCTCGACGAGGCGCCGCCGAAGCAGGAGAAGCAGGTCGTCTCGTCGTCGTCCAAGGACCCGCTCAAGGCGGCGCTCGCGCCCGCGAAGCGCGCCGCGCCGGCGCCGGACCCGCTCAAAGCCGCGCTCGCCGCGCCCGCCGCGCCGGCCCCGGCGGCCCGCCGCGCCGCGCCGGCCCCGCCCCGTCCGCTGGCGCCGCCGCCGCGGCCCGCACCGCCCGCACCGCCCAAACGCGCGCCCGCGCCGCCCGCCGCGCCGCCCGCGCCGGCGCCGGCGCCCGCGCCGGCGGCCGGCGAAAAGCTCGACGCGCTCCTCGGCGACGACTGCAACCTCGCGACGGCGGACGTGCGCGCGCTCTTCCAGGCCTTCCTCGAGAAGCGGCCCAAGCCCGCGAACGCGGCGGACAAGGTCAAGATCCACGAGGAGACGAAGCCCGACGACAAGGGCGTCAACATGAAGTCGTCCATCTTCCTCGTCCTCGACTGGGCCGCCTACACCTACAAGCGCACGCGGAAGCGGAAGCCCGCGTAACATTAGTCGTGGACCCACCTCAGGGATGCGCGCGGGCGAGCCGCGCCGCCGCGCGCGTAGCCGAAGAACCAGGGGTACCGTCGGCGCGAGGACGACGAAGAAGAAGAGGCCGGCGGCGACGCCGTACGCGAGCCACGCGGCGAGGGCTCGTCGTACACGGACGTCGAAGCTGTGCCCCCGGGAGAGCGCGTAGACGAGCAGCGCGACCGCGATGAACGTCTTCCGATCGCAGACGTAGCACGCGCCGCCGTCGAGAAACGACGCGCAGTCGCACCACGGGCAGTGGGGCGCGGCCGGGTCGTGGATGTTGCAATCGCGCCAGCCTCTGTTCCAGTCGAACGCAAAGACGCAGCCGCACTGGAACATGGTGCCGCAGAAGGGGTTGTGGACCAGGTAGTCGAACACCTGAGTGAATTAGGCTGCCCATGACTTCCTTGAGACGCGCTGAAACACGCACCCAGATGATCGAAAACGCGCCGACGAACTGCCAGAAGGACTTTGCGGTACTCTCCTTGACTCGTAGGAGGGGCGTCCTGGGGACGGCGCGGCTCGAAGACGAGCTGCTCGTGAGCTCCATGTCGCGCTCTCCCAGTTCAACATGCACGAAGCAAACATCACGATCCGATGAGATCCGGCAGTTCACGGGCTGCCTCGCCCAGCAAACGCTCTCCGGTGTGTTCCGCGAACACCAAACACACGCTCTCCTGACACCATGGCCGCCATCGCCCCGCCCCTGCTCATCGACCTCACGTCGGAGCCCGCCGTCGACCCCAGCGCCTTCCTCGCCAAGCTCACGCCGACGAAGTCGTCCATCAAGAAGACCTGGGACGAGCGCGTCGCCGCCGCCGAGGAGGCGCGCAAGTACTTCCTCGCCGGCCGCACGATCCGCGCCGCCTGCCTCTCGAAGCGCAAGCGCGCCGTCCCGGAGACGCCGAGCGCCGAGCTCCTGAAGAAGATCGTCGAGAAGCTCCGCGAGGCGGAGATCCGCCGCGACATCGAGCAGGAGGCCGTCAAGTTCAAGGCCGCCGCGTGCCGCCGCGCGTCGCCGTTGAAGTTCAAGCAGGCCCAGCACGCCGCCCGGGCCATCAAGCTCCGCGTCAAGCTCGTCGAGGCGACGCAGCGCCGCAACGAGCACCTCGAGGCCGTGCGTTCGAAGGCGACGCGGTCGCCGCCGCGGTCGCCCGAGAAGCGCGAGCGCGCCGCCCAGACCTTCGACCTCGGCGACGTCTGCAAGAAGCTCGCCGACGCCGGCGACCGCCGCGACGCCATCCTCGCCGCCAAGGTCGAGAAGGCGAAGAAGCTCGCGGAGAAGCGCCGCGCCGCCGACGGGCAGGCGGCGCCGTCGACGGTCGACGCGCTCGCGTCCAAGCTCGGCGCCGCGGAGCAGCGCCGCGGCGCGATCCTCGCCGGCAAGGTGGAGAAGGCCAAGGCCCTCGGCTCGCCGGCCAAGCCCTGCGCGCCGCCGCCCCCTCCGACGGACAAGGAGGCGAAGCGCGCCGCGGCCGCCGAGCGCCGCGCCGCGTACCTCCGCCGCGTCGCGGCCAAGGCCAAGGCCAAGGACGTCGTCGCGCCCGAGGAGGACGTCGCGGCGCTCCGGGCGACGCTCGCGGCGAAGCTCGCCGGCGCCGCGGCGCGCGCGGGCTCCGCGGCGTCGCGCCGCTCGAAGCGCGGCGCCGCGCTCGGCACGGACGCGGTCCTCGCGGCCGCCGTGCGCGCCCTGCGCGTCACGGCCAAGGCCGCCGAGCTCGCCAAGGCCCTCGACGCGAAGCACGGCGCCGCGGCCGCGCGCCGCGCCGCGGCCGCGCGCGCGGCCGAGGCCAAGGCGGCGGCCCGCGGCCGCGCGCGCGAGGCCGCCCGCTTCCGCAAGACCCAGTCCCTCTACGTCATCGTCGACAAGCCCGCCGCTGAGGTCTGAGTGCTCCTCCCCGCGGTCGAGCGCGCGCCTCCCCCCGGCGCGACTCCCGCTGACGACTCTCTAAGAGGTCCTTTCTGCGTACAATTGCCCCTCTCAGCGCGCCGGCTCCACGAGCTCGGGAACACGACCAAGGCCAAGGCGAAGTCGATCCGGGTCGTCCAGTTGCTGGGCGTCGGCGCGGACGTCATCATCGCGGCGCCGAATAAGAACGGCACCAGGGCCTCCGCCGTCACGCCGGTCCGCCGCCGGGCCGTGAGCATCGTGACCGTGACGCCGACGACCGCGGCCGCGACGTAGTTGAGCAGCTTGAGGCGCTTGGCCGCGGGGATCGCGGTGACGAAGTCATCGGCGTCGAGGAGCAACTGGCCGACGGCCATCGTCTTGGCCTTTGTGACGAAGCCCGCGGCGAAGCCGGCTGGGCACCAATGGCTCATGTCTTTGCCCCTGCGGCGCCCGGAGCTGCGGGGCCCTGCTCGACCTCAAGCTCTCGGCCTCCATGCTGGGCCGCAGGGTCTGCGACGTGCCGTCCTCCTTCTCCGCGCCGTCGCTCAGCGGCTTCGTCGTGGCGCTCCAGGCTTGCCAGTGTCGCGTCGTCACGTGCGGTCGCCGCGGCCGCGGCGGCTGGTGGCCGGGCGACGCAGGAGTCTTCCGCGGAGCTCGCGGCACGCCGGCCGCGGCCGCGGACATCGACTAAACGCGCGCTGCGCGCATTAACTACGCCTAGCGGAGCGCTCCACGCCGCGGAACCGGCGCGGCGCGTTCGAGGGCCCTGGGCATCCGCTCGCCGGGGGTAGGAATTCCTAGTCGAGGGGGGCGCGCCGACCGCAATCGCTAGCGCTCGCTCACGCCGCCCGCCTCGTCGTCGTCCACCGCAAAAAACACAGCAACCATGGGCCTCTCGCGCGAGCGCAAGCAGGAGTACTTCGAGAAGATGGAGGGCCTCCTCGACGACTACTCGAAGATCTTCATCGTCCACTGCGACAACGTCGGGTCGAAGCAGTTCCAGCAGATCCGCATCGCGCTGCGCGGCAAGGCCGTGGTGCTCATGGGGAAGAACACGATGATGCGCAAGGTGCTCAACGCCTACCTCGCCAAGAACCCGGGCCACCCCTACGAGATGCTCCTGCCCAAGGTCCTCGGCAACGTCGGCTTTGTGTTCACGAACGAGGACCTCGCGGACGTCCGCGAGCTCATCGAGGCGAACCGCGTGCCCGCGCCGGCGCGCGTCGGCGCGACGGCGCCCATCGACGTCATCGTGCCCCCGGGCCCGACGGACTGCGACCCCGGCCAGACGAACTTCTTCCAGACGCTCCAGATCGCGACGAAGATCGTCAAGGGCCGCATCGAGATCACGAACCCCGTGAACCTCCTCAGGAAGGGCGACCGCGTGGGCAACTCCGAGGCCGTGCTCCTCCAGAAGCTCCACATCAACCCCTTCGACTACGGCCTGGTCATCACGGACGTCTACGACAACGGGTCGATGTTCGACGTCAAGGTCCTCGACCTCACGGACGCGGACCTCTCCTGCAAGTTCGGCGAAGCGCTCAACGCCATGTCGTCGCTCTGCCTCGAGGTCAACTACCCGACGCTCGCCTCCGTGCCCCACTGCGTCGCGAACGCGTTCAAGTGCCTCGTCGCGATCGCCGTCGAGACCGAGTACACGTTCGAGAAGGCCCAGCCCTTCAAGGACTACCTCGAGAAGAACCCGCCGGCGCCCAAGGAGGCCGAGGCCTGAGGTCCTTCCCGAGGCGCGAGCCCCCGGCGCCTGCCGACCGGGGCCGCCGCCCGAACCGGGGACCGCGCGCGCGCGCCTAACGGACGGGCGCGCCCGAGCTTCTCGAGAACGGGCGTGTGGCACTTCGTGCGCGCGCGAGATTCTACTGCCGCACGTCCTCACAAGCAATTTCTTAACACACATGAGTTCGTGGTCCGCGCGGCGGCGTCCGAAGAGACGCGACTGGGGCCGCGCCGCTCGCGACCTCCTCTCTAGTAGATCGTGCCCGTGCGGTCCCTGAAGCCCGCGGACAGGCGGTACTGGCAGCTGACGCGGCCGCGGTAGCACCAGGGCGGCAGGCCCGGCGGCGCCGTGTTGGCCCGCGTGCCCATGTTGCCGTGCGCGACTTGCGTCGCCGGGTCGCCGAAGAAGAGCACGCAGTCGCCCGACGCGAGGACGATCTCGCGGCACGTCGGGCACGGCACGGAATGCCAGTCCTTCCATTTCTTGCCCGCGGTGCCGTTGCCGCCGCCCGTCCAGCACCGCTTGCAGTCCGGCGCGTGGTCGACGACGAAGGACGACGAGTCGCCGAGCGACATGAGCGCGACCCAGCGCGTGCCCGGCTTGTCGACGTGGACGTGCATTTTGTCTCCGCGCGCCGCCGCCGTCTTCCCCGCGCGGAACCGTAGTATCTGCGCCTCGCCCGTGATGAGCTCGCCCGCCCGCTCGCCGCGGCGCAGCGAGAGCGTCGGCCGCCCCGGCGCCGCGGCGGCGTTGACGGCGGCCATCGTCGCGTCCAGAATCGGCTGGAGCAGCTCGAAGGTCTGGTCGTCGGCGAACATCCTAAGAGGATAGAGCTTCGTGTAGTTGTCCTGGCAGTTGTTGCCCTGGGCCGCCGCGCACTTGGCCATGGTGCCCGCGCCGCTCGGCGGGTGCAGCACGTCCAGGCCGAAGCACTTCTCCAGGTTCGCCGCGAGCGTCGCGCCGCGGGCCCCGTCGAAGTTGCGCAGCACGTAGACGGCCTCGCGCCGCGGGCCGAGCTCGACGGTCTCGACGCGGCCCGCGAAGGGCGGCATGGAGAACCGCTCGTAGGCGGCGGACCGAGCGGTCACGGTCGCCGTCGTGCCGTCGACGTCGCGGCGCGGCGCGGGGCCGTCGCCCTCGCGCCGCGGCTTCGCGCAGCGCGCGTGCGGGAGGTAGTGCACCCGGATCGTCTGGCCCGGCAGCGGCCGCGGGAACAGGCCGTGCGCCGTGCTGTCGCCGTTGGCCGGGCAGACGAAGCACGACCGGCCCTGGCTGCACAAATCGAAGTTCCCGCACTTGCCCGGCTCGTGCTGGTGTTCGAACCAGTCGGCCGTCGCAGACCAAGGCGGCCGCGACCCGTCGACGAGGACGCCGCCGCTCGTCGGCGGCGGCGGCGCGGCGGGGCGGCTCGCGGCGTCGTCCGCGCCGGCGAGGCGCCGCGCGAGCGCGGCGTCGGACTCGTAGTCCGCGCCGGCGCCTTCGCTGGCCAGAAAGCGCGCCAGCGCGGCGTCGGACTCGAAGTGGTCCTCGCGGCGCGCGAGCGCGTCGTCGTCGTCGCTGTCGCGCAGGTCGACGACGTCGTGGGAAGCTTGCTGCGGGGCATCGTCGTCGTCGCTGTCGATTTCGACGACCGTCGCGCCCGCCGGGACCTCGAATTTCGCTTTCTTTGTCGGTTTATCGGCCATCACCGACGACAGGTACTCGTCGAGCGTCGGAAGCGCCTCGAGGTCCGCCGTTGGAGAGGCCGGAATGCGGGTCCATGCACCGAGAGCAATCCCGGTCAAAAGTGCTCTTCAACTTGATGCTCAAGACATGATGTATCCATTCGCGCTAGCCCAGCGGTCGGCGCTGGTATACAAAACAGTCGGTAGCCCGCGGTGCGCGATCGCGGGGACGACCGCGGCTCTCGCTCAAGAGGTGGCGACCAGCGTCTGTGTCCGGTGGCCTCGGCCCCCCGAGAGCGACGAGAAGAGCGGGGACATCGTCCGGCAGCGGCTGCCGCTCGGCCGGTCTCCGCCGCGGCATGCTGGCAGCCCGTCGCGCGGCGGCGCTCCGCCGAGCGCCGCCGAGCTGCGCGGTCGCAGCGTGCCGCGCGCTCCCGCCAAACGCCGCCGCGCCGTCGGTGGTTCCATGGTCGGGGGTTTCGCGAGAGAGGGGCCGCGGCCGGACTCCGTCGCGCGGGCTTCGCGAGCGCGCCGCGGAACTCGAACCGCGCCGCCACCCGCGCAGGTCGAGCCGCCCCGGCCCTAGCGCGGGCCCGGCGCCATGGACGAGGACCAGTTCCCGCAGGAGGACATCGAGAACCTGGTCAAGAACGCGATCTCCGCGTGCCTCAGCGAGTTCCAGTACCAGGCCAAGCTCGTGAACAACAAGATCCACGCGATCGTCGACGCCTGCCTCAAGGAGCTCCAGACGCTGAACCGGCCCTTCAAATACATCGTCACGTGCATCATCATGCAGAAGAACGGCGCGGGCCTCGACACGGGCGCGGCGCTTTTCTGGGACAACGCGAAGGACGGCCTCGTGTGCATACCGTGGGAGAACTCGCAGATGAGCGTCGTCGTCACGGTCTTCGGCACGGCCCTCAACGTCGACAACCTCGCGGAGCTCGACTAGGCGCGCGCGCCCTCTCCTCGCGCGCGGCGCGCGGGCGCGCCTACGGGACCCGTCGCTACGTGACCCAGTGGGCGCGCGCGGGCCGCCGCCGCGTCGTCGGGACGTCGCCGCCGAGCCAGCGGCGCACGGCGGCGGCGAGCGCGACGAGGTCCGGGTAGGGGTCGGCCTTCCCGAGGAGGCTCGTGAGCTTCTTGTGCGCGCGCGGCGGGTTCTCGCGCCGCGGCGCGCCGAGGTCGACGCCGAGGTCGGCGATGCAGGCCAGCGTCGCGTTCTGGACGTGCCAGTCCGGCAGGGGCGCGAGGTCGTCGCCGTCGAGGCCGAGCGCGGTCCGCGCGGCCGCGTCGCCGCGGCCGAGGCACTCGAGGAACGCAAAGTCGCCCTTCCGCGCGTCCGGCGTCCAGCGCTTGACCTGGTAGGGGCTCTTGTAGAGCGTGAGGTTGCGGCCCAGGCGGTAGGCGACGGCGTCGAGGGCGCCGACGACGCCGGACCGCGGCGGCCAGTGCGCGCACGCCGGCCCCGCGAAGACGGGCGGCCGCGCGGCGTCGAGCTCCGCGGCGAGGCGGTTCGCGACGAAGGTCTGGAGGAGCACCTCCTCCGCGGCCTGGCCGCTGTACGCGCCCGTGTTCTGGGCGAGGATGCGCTCGAAGACCGTCGCGTTCGTCTCGGGGTCGACGGTGCCGCGCGCGAACGCGTCGAATCGCTCGAACGCGTAGCGCGGGAAGAACATGCCCTCGTGCTGCGAGAAGCCGCCGCGGCAGCCCTTGACGGTCCGCGCGTCGGCGCCGAGCACGGCGTCGAAGTACCACTTGTTCACGAGGATGGACTTCTTCGCCCCGGCGTCGCAGTTGCCCTCGAGCCAGGGCGTCTCGGCGACCTTGGAGAAGCCGCCGCGCACGACGAAGCGCTCGACGCCGGGCACGAAGAAGCGCGCGTTGGACGCCGAGCAGAGCACGTGCGTGAAACTGAGGTTGAGAGAGGCGCCGTGGAGCGCGTTCGAGACGTGGCCGAGCAGGATGGAGCCCGTCGCGTGCTTCGTCGGGATGCGCCGCGGGTTCGCGTAGACGCGCGGCGGCAGGAAGGCGAGCGCGCGCATGGCGTCGAAGGTGCCGTCGTCGCGGTTCGCCGAGAGGTGGACGACGACGGGCGTGCGCGGGTGCGTGAAGTCCACCAAGTTCTTGAGCGTGGCCGCGACGCCCACGATGTCCTCGTGCACCATGCTCGAGATGAGCACGCGGCCGTCCGGCGCGGCGCGCGCCGAGAGCAGCAGCGCGGCGACTGCGCCGAGCCAATGGTTCATCCTTCAAAGGCTGCCCATCATCGATCGCGCTGCTCTTCAACCTCGTTTCGTTGATGTTCAACTTAGACGTCCAAAGGCGGGCAGCCGCCGTCGGCGGGGTCGTCGCTCGCGAACGCGCGCTCGAAGGCCGCGTGCGCCGTCTTGAACGGCGCGCGCGCGTCGGCGGCGCACGTCGCGTTGAAGTTGTGGAGATCGAACAGGCAGCTCCCGTTGATCGTCTTCACGCGCGTCGCCTGCCAGGAGCAGTCGTCCGACGGCGGCGCGCCGTCGGGGCAGCGGCCGGCGGCCGGCAGCGACCACCACACGCCCGTCGCCTCGTTCGCGTCGCACTGGCCGGCCAGCGGCGCGCCGAGGCCCAGGGCCGCCTCGCGGCCCACCAGACGATCGTTCGCGCCCATGCAGTGGTTCTCCGCGCCGTACGCGTTGCAGTTGAGGTACTGCCCCACGGTGGAGGTGTAGGTCAAGTTCCACCGGGAGATCCACGCGTACGCGTGGTCGGCGCCGGGATTCAATCCCGTCTGCAGGTCCTCGCAGACGAAGAACGTGTCGCCGAGCGCGTCGCCGACGTCCTGGTTCGAGATGTTGAAGTTGTTCTCCGGGTGGAAAATGTAGGCGTCCGCGGTCGTCACGGCGCCCGTCGCGCCGGGCTCCGCGCACGTCGGCGGAGAGGCGCACGCGGCCTCGTCGAAGCCGCGGAGCACGTCCGGGTCCGCGCCCTCCGCGAAGCTCACGAAGCGGAACGAATAGGAGTAGTTCGCCTTCGTGTTGCTGATGTTGTACTCGACGGGGGTTTCCGAGTCCTTGCCGACGGCGACGAGCAGGTCCATGCCCGCGAGCGACAGGGCCCAGACCGCGCACTCGGTCCCGTCGACGACGGCGTCCGCTCGCCGGCGCGACAGCGGCACCCACTGCCACATGTTCGTGTAGGTCGACGGCGTGCCGCCGTAGTCCATGGGGTAGCAGAGCCCGTTCATGACGTCGAAGGAGCCCGTCGACGTCGTCACGGACGTCGTGTTGAAGAACGCCTTCCCGCTGCCGGCGTAGGACGCGGGCGCGAAGCGATTCTCGACGCGGAACGACTGCGCGAAGCGCTTGGTGTCGTCGTCCTGGCTCATGACCCACGGGTGGCCCTCGCAGGAGCCCGTGGCCGTGAACTCGCAGATCACGTCGGAATAGGTGCTCGTCATGTACATGGTCGCATGGAAATTCGCCGGGAGCTTCGGCTTCCCTGCCTCGTCGAGCGCATCTTGCGCGACGAGGTCCTTCGCGAAAAAGGCCTGCAAGGCGGCGGTCCAGAGCATGGCGACGGCGCGATTGGAGAGGGCAGCCTGTTCGCCGTAGGACAGCAAATTGGTTTATTGACCCGATGTTGAATCAGCCGCGACGACCGCCGCCGCGGCCGACGCGCGGCCACCGTCAACCACCGTCGGGCCGGCGTCGTCCGCTCGATCATGTCCGTGCTCGCGGAGGCGAATGAAATTCAAGACTTCACAGCCCAGCTTGCCGCGGGCATTAGCGTGAACGCAAGAGATGAAAACGGGTTCACCATGATCATGGTCGCGGCCCTCAATGACTTTCATAATGCAGCCAAAATTCTTCTCGAACAGCACGGCGCGGATCCGAACGTCGCTGATCGCGACGGGTATCGACCTTTGCACTTCCCCGCGGACGCGCGCATCGTTGAGCTTCTCCTCAAGCACGGCGCCGACGTTAATGCGCAGAATAATACAGGCGAGACACCTCTCATGATTCCATTTAGATTCGGAAATGTTGAGCTAGTGCGCATTCTGCTGAGAAATGGTGCTTCGCTTAGTCCTCGCAATGATGAAGGTCTAACTGCGCTCGAGCGTGCGAAGTGCAGAAAACAAATAGAGCGTACTCGCGAAGCGCGCGGGCTGCCAAAGTTCCCCGGCGACTGGCAAGAAACCATCGACCTGCTCACGGCCGTGACCAACGCCGGATCCTGGGAGCGCTACGTGCGCGAGCCCGTCGTGCAGCTCCTGTGCCTCCGCCACCTGTGCCTCGCCGGCCGCGCGACAGCGCCGCCGACGCTTGTGCGCTGCTTCGGCGCGCCGCCGGTCCCGAACGCCGGCAAGGCCCGAACCCGCGCCCGGCGCGTCGCAGCTGCGACGCCGCTGCCCAATGAGGTCTTCGCGCACATCCTGAGCTTCTGGCACTGGCGGGCATAAGACAAGTCTCTTTCCCGACGAGGTCTTCGCGCTCATCCTGAGCTTCTGGCACTGGCGAACCTAGCATGTCTAAAAATTACCGATGCCGTCCGTGTCGCTCGAAGCGCCGCTTGAAGAGCTCGGCCTTGCGCTTCGCGTCGGCGCGCGCGAGCTCGATGCGGTGCTTGGCCTCGTCGACGCGGTGGTGGATCGCGTCCTCGAGCTTGTGCTCCGCGGCGTGGATCTTGTCGCCGACGGCGTGGATCTTGTCGGCGACGGCGTGCTCGGCGTCGTGGACCTTGTGCTTGACCTCGTCGACGACGTGCATCGTCTTGGGCGCGGCGCGGTGCGCGGCCTCGTCGACGCGGTGCTCCGCCGCGTGGATCTTGTTCGCGACGGCGTGCAGCTGGTCCTCGATCTTGTGCTCGACGCCGTGCGCCGCGTCGCCGACGGCGCGCGCCGCGCGGCCGACGGCCGTCTTCGGCCTCCGCTTAAAGGTCGGGTCGATGCTCTCGATGGACAGGTCCATGAAGTCGAGGCACTTCTGCTTGAGCGCGCCCTCGGGCTCCGAGTTGCGCCGCTTGCGGCCGCGGACCTCGACGTAGGAGATGTCGAAGATGTGGGCCTCGGAGCGGAAGATGTCGTCGTCGCGCGCGTGGAGCTCCTCGCGGATCGTCGGCACGACGAAGCGCCGCCGCCGCAGCGGGTTCGACACGCCCGTCATGACGATGGCCGACAAATGGCGCTTCTTCCGTTTCCGTTTGGCCTGCTCGAGCTCGTCGTCGGCCAACACCACGACCTCCATGTAGTCCGCGGACGGCGTGCCGTGGTCGACGTCGTCCGCGAAGTAGGACACGGGCGCGTCGTTCTCGTCGGGCGTCAGCGAGTGGCGCCGTCCCCGGATCTTCTTCGGCGGCATGTTGTAGTTCCCCGGCTCCCGGTCGAAGTGGCGCGGGATCGTCGCCGGGTCAAAGGCCTCGTCCTTGGATTCCTCGAACGACGCGCGGCTCCTATTTCCCCGCCGCATCCAGCTCAAAGTCGAAGGTGCCGCTCAGCGAGTCCGTGGACCAGCCCCGCTTCTTCGTCCGCGTTTCGCGGATCGCCGCCTCGCGGGCCTCGCGCGCCTTCTTCGCGGCGTGGAAGGCCTTGGCGCGCGCCTGCGGCGACAGCGTCTCGTCCGAGAACGGCTCCGCGATTTCGACCTTGGGCTTCGGCGGGAGCCAGAAGTCCATGTGGGAGACGACGTAGGCGACCTTCGCGCAGCAGATCAAGACGAGCAGGATGAAGATGATGACGAGCCACTTGCCGGAGATGCCCGCGACCTCGTACCCGAGCGACGCCTCGTCGTCGTCGTCGACGGCCGGGCCGAGGAAGACGTCGCCCTTGTCCTTCGGCGCCTTCGTCGGCTTCGGCGTCGTCGCGATGATGACGGCGACGGGCCGCGGCGTCGGGTTCGGCGTCCAGACCCAGCCCCGCGACGGCGCGGCCGTCGCCTCGGCCGTCGGGCTCGCGGCCGGCTGGCCCGTCGTCGGCGCCGCCGTCGACGGCGCGGCCGTCGGGGCCACGTAGCGCTGGGGCGCGGGCGTGGGCCGCTTCGTCGGCGCGCGGCTCGTGGGGCCGTAGGTCGGCGCGGCGCTCGGCGCGGGCGTCGGCGTCGCCGTCGTCGGCGCTTTCGACGGCTTCGCGGAGTAGGCCGCCGCGACGTCGCCGACGCCGTCGATAGTCGCGTTCGCGACGCGGAAGCCCCGGTCCAGGAACGCGGCGACGGCGGCGAGGCTCGACGACAGGCGCCCGTCGGCGACGGCGGCCGCGAGGTCCGACGCGAAGCCGGCTTCGACGGCCGCCGGCTCCTCCGCGGTGCGCAGCTCGACGTCGAACTCGACGGACCCGCCCGCCGCCAAGAGCCGCCGCCGGCGCGTCGCGTAGGTCGTCCGCGTCACCTGGGCCGCGTCGTCGACGTCGTCCAATGACTGCGCGAGCGCGACGCGGAAGACCAAATCGTCGTCGTCGTCGAAGCCGCCGAGGTTGGAGAACTCGACGCTCGACGACACGTAGACGGTCTCGACGCCCACGGGCGCGGGCGACGGCCGCGCCGTCGGGCGGGCGGTCGGCACGCAGAACCCGCAGGTCGCCCG